AGCATTGGGGGGGCGGGTACATTAGTTTGCTAGGGCTGCTGTAGCAAAGTACAACAGACTGAGTGGCTTAAACAGCAGAAATTTATTGTCTTACATTTCTGGAGGCTGGGAAGTCCAAAACCAAGGCGTTGGCAGGGTTGGTTCCTTCTGAGGGCTGTGAGGGAAGGGTCTATTCCAGGCCTCTCTTCTTGGCTCATAGATAACCATCTTCTCCCTATATCTGCCCTCTATGAGTGTGCCTGTGTCCAAATATCCTCTTTTTATAAGGACACCAAGTCATAGTGGATTAGGGCCCACTCTAATGACCTCATTTTAACTTGTGTAAAGACCCTCGCCCCCAATAAGGTCACAATCTAAGGTATTGTGTGTTAAGACTTCAACATATGAATTCTAGGGGGACAAAATTCAACGTATGACACAAGGGGGCATGGTGTAGCATTTAGTGAAAACTTGTAAGAACCACCCACTGCTGTAAAGGCTGCCATCCCTGGTTCCTCACTGATACACTCAGTACAATAACCAATGCTTTCAGTGTCTCAAAAACAAACCTCCTAGAAGCAGTCAGATTAAGTTCACTGTGTTCTGTTAACTAATATACAAATGTGTCCAGTAAGTTTTGGAAAAATTTTCACCCAAAGATGTAAAGAGTTTAAAAACTCCACATTTAAAGGAACATCATTTTAATTATCAGAGACATTAACTTATACATCAACACCCGTTTCACTGATTTCTCATTCTGAATAACTGAGGTTCCTGTATTTAAAATTGTGCTGTGGCCTATTCCATTCTCATCCAGAAGATGCCTAGGACAATGTGTCCTCAGCATTGAGTAATCGAAAACAATTTTCACAGGACACTTTGTTAAGATGCCGTGCTTTAGTGACTGATAGATCTGCCTCTTAGACTTTGTATTACTTTGGGCACGTCACTTAACCTCCCTGTGCTTCTCTATTTGTCTGTAATGTGGCTTAATAATACCTGCCTCACAGAGGTGGAGAGTCAGATGAGATAATATGGGCAAGCTCTTAGTTTGGGATCTGGTGCATAGTAAATGCTCAATAAATGGTAGATGCTCCTACTTTATTACTATACTTTGTATTGTTATACACCGAGACTGTGGATCAGGGACCAGGTCTGCAGAGTCCACAGGCTAATAGCTGGTAGAGGAGGCCACTTGTCATGAAGGGGAGCTTTCTGAGTCAGAGGGTGGCTTTATAAGCAGGGTGATGCTAAGGAGAGAGAATGATAAAAGGATGTGATATGACCCACACTCCCAACATCCCACACATCTCCATAAACTGCAAAAATCCCAGTATTACTGAGGGCCAGTCCTGATGGCCTAGTGGTTAAAGTTCAGCATGCTCTGCTTTGGCAGCCTAGATTCAGTTCCCAGGTGTGGAACTACACCACTCATCTGTCAGTAGCCGTGTTGTGGTGGCGGCTCACATAGAAGAACTAGAAGGACTTACAACTAGAATATACAACTATGAACTGCGGCTTTGGGGAGGAAAACAAAGAGAGATAGAGAGGAAGATTGGCAACAGATATTAGCTCAGGGCAAATTTTTCCCAGAAAAAAAAAATCACAGTATTATTGATATGATTGGATTGCCTAGATAAGTCGGCATGAAATGGAGCTTGGCATGAATCTGGTATAGAGTACAAAGTGGAGACAAAAGTCAGAAGGGAACAGAGACAGAGGAATGTATGAGTAAATAAGATCTGAAATTCACACGGTATTAAACCCTCTCATCACCTACAAATAAATGAATGAATGACTGAGTGAAGCCTATGTAAGGTATGATTGATCCATTGATATAAAATTGGAAAACTCCTCAGTCAATCTTGTTGCTTTTAACATTCTTCAATATAATTTGTCCCTTGCTTAATTACCAGTTTTCCTTCCTAAAGCGTAAGTCTTGGCCTTGCTTTTGGTTCTCTTGTCCATATAATAATCTCTCTGTGTAACTTTCTCCCATACAGCATATGCAACTATACCTATTGCTTTCTCTGTATTTCTGGCTACTTCTAAGTGCTCATAATCCAATTGAGACACTGCTTAATGGAGAAGTTCACCCTGATCTGCAGACAATTCAAGAAAATCCAGAATCTTCCTCTAAACCATTTTTCCAGCCTCATTTACCATCATTTCTTACAACAAACCCTCTACTCAGGGCAAGTAAGTGACTTCCTGTCCCCCTGACTTCCCATTTTCCACGTTGGTTTGTCTCCCTGGAATAAGGCTATTTATCTCCATCTCTTCTTCAGCCTCTCCTCCCCACTTCCCACCTAATGTACACACATGAAAGTTTTGTACACAAGCTCAAAAAACACCACCCCTGCCCTCCCACGAAGAAACAATTCCACTGGTTCTCCCATGGTATTTTCTTCTGATGCCATCACACACCTCATCTGACAGTATTTTCAGTTGTATTCTTAACCATTTGCATGGCGAGACTGTAGCTCTCCTCTCCCCTCCCCAGAGCCTAGCTCCCTGCCTGACGTAGAGGGGGAATTCAATACAGGTTTTAATGAAGGGGTAAATGAATGAATGGAAGTGAACAGTAGTAGGGAGAACCCAAAACATCATAACCCAAAAATAATCTATATGTGTGTTTGGAATGTATTTTATACACACATTCAGAGAACATCAAACAAAACTTCAATCACAGCAGTGAAGCCAGCCTGTGCAGATCCCAGTTGGGTGGGGTGGCCTGGAAAAAGGGTGGGAATCCTAACAGGAAGGGAGGAACCTCTCGCCAGCCAACTCCCCATGCCCAGCTTCAGTGGCTTATCTAGAAATCAGAGAGAGTCCAAATGGCTTGGCGCTCAAGGGTACAGGGCTGGGTAATTAATAAATGATTGTAATACCTTTGGAAACGGAAGTGCTATGTAAATGTCAAATTATAATAATACAAAAATAATCATCTTCCATTATCTCTTTAAACATGTAAATGGCATACCCTTTTTAATCTAAAGTGGGTTCAAGAAACAGCAATAAGTTTAACAGGAGGTGCGCCAAATGATCATGCAAACCCATTCAGTGCTCTAAGCACAATTACAGTGCTGACCATCAACCCTGAAAACGAATTACAGTAGCTAATGACAGGGAACAGTAATTAGAATGTTTTTAGAAAATTACTTGGAAACAAAATTGTCAACAAAGACCACTCAAATATAACTGTAAACAGCTTAAATAACAGAATAATGCAGTGGCCTGTGCCCCGAGCGACGTGAAGAAGATGGAAAACACATTGAGGGTCCCAAATCACTGTCTTCCCAGTGATTATGTACATTGTTTTTAACCTCAGTCTTTCTGGGTCATTCTAAATGCGGTGGAGAGCCAAGTGCCCTTGAACATTCTGCTGTTTAGTAAGTCTTATCCTGGTTCACTCATATATTCTGGCTAAGTCTCCCTTTCCCCTCTCCTTTGCATTTTTTGTTATCTTTGGCATTTGTTTTTGAAAAACATGCGCCTCACTTGGAACAAATCCACTAAAGCAAACAACCTTAAAACTTTCCAAACAGCCCCAACTGTTGCGATCTGCAGCCAGCCCAGATCCTGAGCAACGCATCTCCCAGGGTTTACCACGCCTGTGGAGATCCTGGCGGAAGAGCTTCTCGTGAGCTATAATAGAAACTGACATTTACATAGCTCCATTTTAACTCCCCAGAGACTGGTGCAGCTCAAGTCTGTGATAAGCAAGGGGGTGGGGGGGAACGAGTGCAGAGGAAAAAAAGGCGTGGGTGGAGGAGGGTCTGGAAAGGGAGACAAAAGGACACATTGCAAGCCTTGAGATTGAAAAATGTTCTCTTAGTGTTTCATTAGTAACAGAGCAAAATGAGGGAAATTCGAGGAGAGTTGCTGCCGTAAATTGCCACTTTTTTTTTTCCCGGAAAAAAACGTAAGTATAACTCCTCATTTTTGGCGCATAATGGAGGAGCGAGCAACTTCTTGCTGTTGTGTGCTTTTCAAGGCAAAACAAGCAGCATAAATTCATTTTAAAAAGAAACCGTATTAAGTAGATTCTTTCTAGAATGTGTATTCCACATGCTTCCCTGACCAGATAGCATCCCAAGCAGGGTAAATGTCTTGCTATAGAGGGCTCCAAGGTCATCAATAGAGCCAACTGCCATAGAAAATGCTGGAATATAATTATGCTTGGCATCTAATATTTAATCATTTTCAAAATGTTTTGGTTCACTTTGGGGCAGTTTTCTCTACCTCTGGACTTTACTGTCAGGCTGGCAGATGTCATTTTTTGCAACCCCATCCACTTTTCAATTTCCTGCTACTTACATACTATGGCCTAAAAATTCCATCTCGTGAGAATTGGGCCAAGAATGAGCCTAACTGGCTTTTAGTAAGAGCCTGTGAGTAAAGTACACAGGTTTTGACGTTCATTTTCCTTCTAGAATCTACTTTTTACTTTTACCTATTTCTTGACCACATTCCAGAGATTTGAGTTGACCATATAAATGGGGTACCACTGAAATGAATAAAAGGTAAATTTATAGCTAGAATTTAGACATCTCATAGAGATTTATATGAGATGCTCAGATTACATATCACTTTATTTCAATTCTTTGGCTTTTAATTTCCTATTTTCAGGATGATACAATATGTTAAAATTGTATTTATTTTAGTTAATTTAGCTTGTAAGTTTTCCACTAATAGAATGAATATCATTCTATTATAGAGAATTTGTTATACAGCGAAAAGAAACAACTGAAAAAATCCACAGTCCTAAAACCCTAACGTTACTATGCTTTGCAGTTTGGTATACTTCTTTCATATTTCTCCTACTCATACTTTTGCAAACACAGTTATATTGACTCTTCCATACAAATTTATGTGCTGGCTTTTTTTTTCCTTTCACAAGGAAGATTGTCCCTGAGCTAACATCTGTGTCAGTCTTCCTCTATTTTGTATGTGGGACGCCACCACAGCGTGGCTTGACAAGCAGTGTGTAGGTCTGAGCCCAGGATCCGAACCCATGAACCCCAAGGCGCCAAAGCAGAGCACACAAATTTAACCAGTATATCACTGGGCCAGCTCGTTTATCCTGTTTTTAACATGCGCTATCTCATAACTGTTTTCCTTGTTGTTGTATATCTTTATGGCTATCCTTTTAATGACTACAGAATATTCTACTGAATAGCTATATGTATCATTTACTTAACTATTTTCTTATTTTATATGTAATTTAGAATTAGATATAAAATGTCCCAAATTCTCCTTTCTTTCAGATAGTCATATATTGTTTTACTGAGACCAAGTCATCCCTTCTGAAATGAGTTTAGATTGTTTCTAGTTCACTAGAGAGAAGTTTAGATTATTTTCAATTTTTACTCATAATAAAACACTGCAATGAACATCTTCCTGAACATAGCTTTTGTTGTTTGATTGATTTGTCTTGGGATTACATCCTTAGGAGTCCCAAAAGTGGAATTACATTGAAAAAGACTATGGCAATTTAGAACCAACTCTTAGAAAATGAGAATTTTGATGGGTGTTGGAAGCCATAGACAGCAACTGAGAGCAACTCCTAAACCAGTTGGCACGAACCCCAGAGATAAGAGCTGTTGGGCTGGGGAAATGTTTCCCAGCTCTGCTGCCACACTGCTCAAGTGCATGCCCTGCCGTCCAATGGTAACAAGGGCTTTGCAATGTTTTAAATAAGATAATGTGAAAAGCGTACATGAATCATTATTGAAATATGGCATCGATGTGGGGAAATCTGTACTGTGGCAGCAATACACCTGTGTTCAGGTTCATTCTTGGGAGGGAAAAAGGAAAAAAACAAGTGTGAGAGAATCCTTAGAAGAGTGTCCATCCAGAAAGGACCTAAAGCCAATTAGCCTGAAAGCCAACACTTTATATATATATGTACACATTTTCTTATACTTCTGTCTTTACTGGCTGTCGTATGAATGCGTTGGGATGATTTTGGCAAGTAACAGAAGATCCAAATAGAAGCTTATACAGGAAGGTGTTTATTATTTCACATAACAAAAATCCATAAGTAATAATAATATTAATAATACTTAATTCAAGAAATAACATTAAGGACTAAGTCCCAGGTATTATTCTACATTCTTAACATGTATTAACTCATTTACTCCTTTATACAAACCTCATGATGTATCCCCAACTTGAGATGAGGCAGCTGAGGTATGGAGAGTTTAACAATTTGCTAAAGATTATACAAATATTAGGTGGAAGATCCAGGATTTAAACCCAAGCCATCCAGCTCTGGATCCTACTCTTAACTATTGCAGTAGGGCTATTCCCAAATAGTTAAGTCATTATTGATTGTATTCCAGTTGGTTGGTGCCTAGAGTGTGCTGGTTTTAAATATTTGCTGTATCCCCCTGGACCTAGGTAATTTCAGCTTTCTACTTGCTGTCTTCATCACATCAACAGTGTCTTCCCTCATGATTGAGAGAAGCTCATTAATTTGAAGGATCACAGGTATGATAATGTCCAGCAAAGAAGAGTTAAACATTTTCTTTCTCTCTTTCTCTTAGAATTTTTTTATTACTCAACTTCTTAAAAAGTATAACACACATACACAAATCTTAAATGGTGAATTTAATGAATTTGAATTGATGAATTTTTACAACCCCCAATTAATCATCATAAAGATCAAGATATTTACTGGCACCTCATGCCCCCTTCAAGATTCCTATAATTTTTCTGATGAAATTCTTCACTTTTATTCTATTTTCTCTTCTTAAACACGTTAATCAGAATTGCTTTTAATTCCTTGTCTGATATCTCCAATATCTCAATCACCTTTAGGTCTACGTATATTATCTGTTTCTTCTTTTGGTTTTTGTCACTTGACCCTATTTATTCATATATTGGTAAATTTTTTACTGAATGTCAGACATTATGTATGGAAAATTGTAAGGCTCTGGTTGATGATATTTTCATCCAAAGAGGATTTAATTCTTTTCTGGAAGGCAGATAGGATGTTTTCAGATCAACCTGATCTGGTTGAGGGTGAATCTTAAGCTTTGATAGGCTTAATCTTTTAATGGTTTGTTCTTGCTCCCATGGTAGAGTCGTCTGGGGTCTCAACTGTACCAAGGCTCTTGAGTCTTGTTGGGACCCACACTTCAACCTCCATCTGCTCATCCTCTTTGGAAACTCCAAACCCCAACTTTTTCCAGCCCAGTGAGATTTCTCCTGTCCCCAGCTATCACTTTTTGCTCCACCTTTACTCTCCACACCATTAATTCACAGAGGTAGAGGCAAATGTGGGGCTTCTTTCTGTATGTCTCCTCTCTCTCCAGGATTTTAGCCACTCAAGTCTTATCTGCCTTGGTTGTTCTTTTATGCCTTTCAATAGTTGCTTTAAATATTTTATTCAGTTTTCATAAGGAAGGAAAAATCTCTCCAGAATTCCCCCAGCAGAATTCCCCTTAGTTCCCAATGGCAGAGATTGCCTAAAAGAGTCAGTGACGAAGGGAATGAAACCATCATACATAGTTTAGACCAACTTGGGCACATGGGAGGGTGGCCATTGGAGAAAAATTGAGACTTTCCCAGAAAAAAATGGGGGGAACTGGGATTCCAGACTGTCTATTTATATAATGATGGTTTTTCTTGGTCATCACATGTTTGGATTGTATGCAGCTCTCCACAATCTTAATCTTCTCCAGAAAGACTCAACTCCAGATTTAGAATTTTCCTTCCTACCTTGTTTTCATCATTTTACAAGCTCCTCTTGACTTATTCTCTGCCTCCTTTTTCATCCTCAATCTAAAATGTGTTGAACTCTAGATAAGTGAGCTCCATTATGAAGTATTTGATTTAAAATGCAATTTTCCTATATGAAATCAAAATAACATTAAAAATTGTGTTAACTTATATGGTGTCTGACAAGTAATAACGTACAATTGAAATTTCACAATGTTACAAACTATTATGACCACGATAAAAAAAAATTTTCTGTTAAAATGCAACACAAAACATGGAAATAATATACAATTTTCTTCTCAATACCAATAACTCCAAAAGGCATTTTAAAAATTTCTATTGGGAGTTTATAATGTAGAAATCTATACAAATGTAGAAATCTATACAAATGTAGAAATCTATATAAATTTTTTACAATTGGTTATATATATGCTCTTGTTTTTAAAAAATACTTGGCCATTATAGGATATTTGGAAAATTACAGAAATGCACAAAGAAAAAAAGAAAATTAAACTTAATCTCACCATCCTGGGATATATAGTATTAACTTTTTGGAGAATAACTATGTGATTTTTTTTTCCTATATGTGTGTTGGGGGGCACACGCACACAATTAAAATGATTTTAACACAGTGGGTGTTGCACACATTTTCAAAACAAACTCTTTGCATGAACATTTATTGACTTTTTTTAAGATGCAGAGAAAATCTATAGTATTAGATTCTCTGACTATTAGGGCTTTTCATTTAATGAAAACAATGGAAAAGTGATAACTCCTTGATAAATGTTTTAACAATATTTTTCTCCACTTAAATCATATGTCCACACATCCTGGGAGTTTTAAAGAAAAAATAAATTTTATGAGAGTCAGGCCACAACAAAAACAAACAAAGAATTCAAGAATAATCTGTCAAGTTTCACACCATCATGCTTACAACTTCACAGCAAACCTTCGCGATTAAATTGTGACATTTCCAGACAGAGAATCCAGAGCTCTAAACCCCCCTCCTGTTTTATGTCACTGACGTTTGAAGAATGTTGGTGGTCTTGTAAGAGAACCTGAATAGAGACAGGAAATAGCCAACATCAGGGAATGGCCTAGAAAAAGAAAAACATGATTTCCTTTCTTCTACCAGAAAACACAGCTGCTCTGCCAAGGTTAGTCTTTCCTTGTGCTGGACCATTTACTGGGGTGCAAAAAAATTATTAAAAGATTATATTTTCTGAATATATATTATAATATATATTATGTATTAATTAATACAGTAGGAAATACACGTATTTTATAAATAAATAAGTGTATGTATTTTGGAGGTTAACTAAAATTTTGTGCATATTTGGGGACGTGTGCACACAAAACCTTTTTCATGTTGGGAGTACACAATCAAACATTTGGAGATCATTGCTTATCTTTCCTCAAAATCACTTTTGACTGGAGTCTTGCAAGAGATTTTATTAAGCGGTGGCGAATCAGATCCTCACCGGAAAATGCACTGTTCAAGATTACTTTTTCTGTGTGTCTTTTTGACAACTGAACTAATTAGTGAATGGAGTCTGGCTAAGGAGGAGGGCCTTCTTGCCCAGCCCCTTCCTCGTGCTGGCCGAGAAGAGATTCATTCACCTGTTCAGCGTATGTTGAGTGCCCCTCTTTGTAGAGCACTGTTCTGAGCACAGCGAAGGAAACAGACAGGATTAAGACATGGTCCAGAGGATAATCCATCACTCGAGGCACAGTGAGGAGGGAGCTCATAGTTCAGACTGGGGGTATCAGGGAGGAGGTTTCCAAGTGGAGGAGATTTCCACAGGCAAGGGAGTGCTGGGAGTCCTGGATAAGGAACCACCCAGAGCCATGCGGGTATGGAAAGTATTCAGTCTGTTGGATGAAGCAAACAGCTCAAAGCAGCAGGATCCCAGGGTACTCAGAGGGATAGAAAGAGCTATAGATTGGACTGGAAAGGAGATCATAAAGTTCTTGGATATCACGCTAAAGAGTCTGAGTAATGGCTCTGTAAAACCATTATTACTATTCCTATTTTTAGACATGAAGAAACCAAGGCTCAAAGAAGCTCAGTCATAATGTGGGTATAGGGTAGAGCTGGCCTCTAATCTGACATTCCTTTTCACTTTTTTTTTTTTTTTTTTTGGTGAGGACGATTGGCCCTGAGCTAACATCTCTTGCCAATCTTCTTCTTTTTGCTTGAGGAAGCCTGTCCCCGAGCTAGCATCTGTGCCAATCTTCCTTAATTTTTGTATGTGGGATGCCGACACGGCATGGCTTGATGAGTGGTGTGTAGGTTCACACCCGGGACCTAAACCCGTGAACCCTGGACCACCAAAACAGAGTGCACGAATTTAACCACAATACCAACAGGCCGGCCACTCTTTTCACTTTTAATTTATAACTCTCAGAAATATAGAAACAAAAATGCAGTATAAGATGCTTTTCTGCATTATTGGTTAATTGTCCCGTGGGTTTAGTAGAGGTAAATTGAAACACCTAATAGGACTTAACAATTGTATTATCAATCCTTTTAAATCAATAGGTTCGAAAACTTGCTATAGTGCTCACAAGCACAACCTAAAGCGTTAATGACAGAGACTGAAATCTGTGTGCCTCCACATCCTCAATGTCTGAAATCGCACTGGACCACAGCAGGTACTCAGTAAATGCAAAGCAAATAAAACCAGTTTTTCTACTTTCCTTTTAGAAAATTTGAACTCAGTCAAGGAAGTTGATTAGAGAAACATGCACACAAATACATTTGAAATGATTTATGTCCCTTAATTATGGATTTGGAATTTTATTTATGAAAAATAGGGTTTTTGAATCTCCAGTTGACAGCTACCTAATTGTAGTATTGGACAGAGCACAGTGGCGGAAACTACACAGGAGTTACAAGCTAGACAGATTCAGGTAAAATCTTGGTTCTACGTTTTATTTAACCATGGATAAGACTTTGTTTAACTTTGGATAAATTCCAGAAGTTTTGGGTTTCTCTCTGTAACACAGAAATATTAATATTACTTTGCAGGATTGTTGGAAGGATTATCGATACACTATTTGTAAAGTCCCTGTCACATAGTAGGCACTCAATAAACTGTTGCTATTATTGTTATTTTCTATTTTATTTTTTTTTAACTCTGTTATACTTCCTGACAAACAGTCATTTTGTTGGATGGAATTCCAAGCACGTGAATTCTTTGAATATGTTCTATAGTCACGCAATTTTCTCAACCTTTGTACATTAAAATTAAATACAGAATAATCCTGGAGGTACAGGTAACTTCGGCTCAGTTGTTTCCTATCCGTGAAAATATCACCATTTATTTAATAACTGATGTCAGAAGAGGTTGAACGCAACCTACAGAATACTAGCGAAATTGGATTTAAACAAATCTATTTATATTTAATTCCCTCCACTTTCTGATGGAATGAAGAGTTTTATTAGAAAATAATCAGCGAGTGGATCTTCTTTTTTCTACACATTCTCTCCACCTTCGCTACATGGACCCTCTGAATCTCCATGATTCTTGTTGAGTTGGGTTCTGAACAGATAACAATGAATTTTAAGCACAGCATTTACCACATTCTTCATTCTGTGGGGAAATTGATTTGATGGGAACAATAGATTTGGACTTCCAACCTGGGGCACTGTGGAGAATTTAAGAAAAAATAGATAACTCGGCAAAATAAACAATATCTTTAGAGAACTTATCGCTCCCTCTCCAGAAAAGGCTAGCGGAGTGATTCTTTCGCTGTGTATCTTATTTTACTAGAGACATAAATCTCAGTTATAAAATCAGTGGAGGACTCTGCTATGCAACTTTATAAAACACATACTTGTGAACTTTACAAAATTTCTATACACTCGGAGCATCCTACTCACTCCCCATTCCCTCAGGAATTTTTCACTAGAGGCTTCAGACTTGTGAGTTAATAGGGTTCATGATCCCCATTCTGTTTTCCCTCTAAGCAGCTCTCCTAAGAGTATTAATTTACACATCCTATTTCAATAGAGCCTTTAACCCTAAAAATGTCAAATTATTACCCACATCATTTTTGTCACCTATTAGTGAAGGCTCAGTTGTCAAGTCCCCCTTCACCGGAGAAGTCCGCAAGAGATGAGTGCCGGCTTCTTCGCAGTTAACCTGCTGAAACTCAGCAGCCTGGAAATTCTGTGTGCAAATCTCAACCTGCAGGCAAACGTTACCTTTTAACCTTCAACTCCCCCTTCAATAAAGACAAGTTTCATCCTGCTTGGTAGCAGACATTAGTTAAATTCTAACAGTCCAATCTTCTTTCGCCTTTGTATCAGTCAGGCGAATTCCCCAAATCATTTACTTTTCTAGTAAAAAGGAATAAAAAAATGGAAACATCTCCTACTGTAATGAGCTGTTATTCTGTGGCAAGAGTCCAGAGGTATTTCAACCTGGTCTTTGGACCAAAGATCTTTGGACAAAAGGTCTCTGGACTTTGGACAGTGGGCCCCTTGCAGTTCGCTGGGGCTTAGTCAGTCTCCCTGACTAAGAATGGGAGGACTCAGGGTGACCCCACAGACCGCTTTCCTGCTTTTCTGCTGAGTGGAACCAGCAGTCCTGGGTCAAGGTGTGGGCCCTGCAGAACTCTGCATTATACCCTGATTGGAGCCCTGGAGAATGAATCCATCGATTTCCAAGAGATTTTCCCTGACCTCGGAGGGTGACTGAGAGTAGATCCAGACAGAAACTAGAATGGTGGTTGCCATGGGATGGAGGGAGAGAGAATGGGGAGGTATTGTTGAATGGGTACAGAGTTTCTGTGTTACGAGAAGAAAAGAGTTATGGAGATGGATAGTGGTGATGGTTGCACATTATGAACGTATTTAATACCACTGAACTGTACCCTTAAAATGGTAAATTTTAGGTTATATGTATTTTACCACAACAAAAAAAATGGGGAAAAAAAAAAGAGTAGGTCCGGAGACATCACCCCACTTTCAAAGGAAATATGCAGCTTATTGCAGCCTTAGAGTCTGAGCCAGGACTGGGCTTGCTCAAGTGCCCCGTTGTTCATTCTCATGGTAGTCTCCTCAGATGCTAGCTATGGGCCTCCAGCCATTGGTCAAGTACTTCACAGGATTAACTGCCTGTATCCTCTTGGGGGACACTCTGCAGCTCATATTTGGGGGTCGAAGGGCAGAGCCCCTGGGCAGCTTGGTGAATCCAAGTGCTTCTCCTCAGGCTGTGGTTGACTGGATCACCGTGATTCCTCTCTGTGTCCGAGCCTCCACATATAGCACAATTTGGAAACTGCTCTATCTTTGGGACACTTTCATTTTAGGTGGTTTTTGACTGAGGGAGAAGGTGGGATGAGTGCTCAGATGCTCTAAAACTTCAAGTTCCCCAAGCTCCAAAGATTTTGCTGCACCATGAATTTTCGTAATGAGCCTCTCCTTGCAAACATCCCAAGGGAGAGAGTAGTTCTGATTTGAGCCGCAAATTCCCTCCCTCCCAGCAAGAAAGGTATCCCCAAATTAGATCATTTCACTCCTCTGCTCCACACCTTTCCATGGTTTCACATCTCAGTAAAAAATGGAGTGATTGGGGGGCGGGCCAGGTGGCATAGTGGTTAAGTTCACACTCTCTGCTTCGGCAGCCTGGGGTTCACAGGTTCAGACCCCAGGCACGGACAGACTCACCGCTCATCAAGCCATGCTGTGGCGGCATCCTACATAAAAAATAGAGGAAGATTGGCACAGATGTTAGCTCTGTGATAATCTTCCTCAAGCAAAAAGAGGAAGATTGGCAACATTTGTTAACTCAGGGCCAATCTTCCTTAGAAAAAAAAAAATGGAGTAATTAAAATGGTTTCAGGGCTCAGACCTCATAGTTCCTCCCTCTTTCTTACTCCATTCCAGCCTCAATGACCTCTTCACTAACCCCCCTCACATGGCAAGCATGCTGTTGTCTCAGGTCTTTGCACGTTCTCTGCCCTCTCCCTAGAACGTTCTTCTGCATATATCTGCACAACTCACTGCATGGCCTCCTTCGCATCTTCACTCAAATGCCACCTTCTCCAGTGGTGCCTTCCCTGAGCACCCTTTCTAAAACGGCACGTGTCATTTCCCACACGTTTCCCATCCTCCTTCTCTGCTTTATTTTTATCCTTAGCACTCATGACTATCTAACGTACTATGCAGTTTGAAAATGTCTCTTATTATCTGTCTGCTTTTTGAAATATAAGCCCCATGATGGCAAGATCTTTCATCCTTTTTGATCATTACTGTATCTCCAGCACGTAGAATAGTGCATGGTACATATTAGGTGCTCAATGAACATTTGTTGAATAAATGAGAATGCATAAATGAAGAACAGACTGAGGGCAGGCCCGGGGGCATTAACTGCCATTCCTGACTGCCCTTGGCCGAGGGCACCCAGCTCATCGTTTCCCAAGGGCCACGCGGTTCTCAATGATGACACCTCTCCAGATAATCAGAGGTGTTCCACAGACCCGGGTTGTGCCCCCGAAAGGCTGAAGTCTGATGGATCTTCTTTTCATTGATCATTGACCTGGCAGGCAAGCAATAGGTATTCTTTGGCCCTTTGTATGTATAAACTGAACATCTCAATCCTCACCTTCCTGTGGGTACAAATGAGATTATATTTACATTGAAATATAAGTCATAAGAGTTCTCAGCATCCTTTCCACCCCCTGTGATTGCAGGACCTCTACACATCTCCTTCCATTTATTTCCATTCATATTCTTCCAGGCCAACTTTGCCAAGGCACCCACCATCTCTGCTGCCAGTGCCCTCTTGAGGAAGGTCCCCACCGTGCCTAGCACCGAATCCACTTGGGAGTCTCCTCTACCCAGCACCAGAGCTGCTCGGTGGGCTCTGGACGAGTGAGGGAAGGAAGGCGAGCCGCTCTGTTTCTGCTCGAGACTTCAGTGACCACAGCACTTCAGGGCTTGGGTCTACGCTTTCGGATTTTATGGTTTATGGACAAAGCCTTAGGCTGGTGGGAGAGTAGAGAACTCGCATCCTCTCTCTGCTATCTTTCTTCCCCTTCTTTTTCCAAGTGCTCATGCGAAATAACACCCCTTCCTGTACTTGTAAGATCCAAACTTAAGTTCCTTCCACATCCCTTCCATGCATTTAGTCCCCCTCCCTTCACCTACACGACGCCTTGGTCAATTCGTCATGCTCGACAGGGCTTGGATTTGAAAAATACGAATTTTAATAAAATAATGTACATCCTTCAAAAGGGAATATGTTGTCTTCAGCATCCTTTAATGATCTGGTTGTAGCTGAAGGACGCCTATCAGATATAAGCAGGGGAACTCAGAGATAGTGCTGTCTGAAGTGACTGATGTTTGGTGGCCCCCTCTGAATCAGGAAGAACAGTCGTCCTGGAGTCGTAAACCCTGAGCAATGAGCTTACACAGCTGTGCCCGAGGCTATGAGGTCTTGACGCCACTCCCAGGTGCCATCCCTCTCTGCCTGTGTCACCACGTACTGCGCCTGCTGAGTCTCCTGTTACTTTGCACCATTGCTTTGCACATTTACCCTACTTTGCTGTAACTTTAGGACAAACAGAAGTTTGCTGAAGCCCCCAGCATATGCTTTGCTTTGAAAGTGGCTCAAAGCTGAAAAAGCATTGAGGCTCAACTATTCTTGGAGGAAGAAGAAAATACATAGGGTTTGTCACTGCCAGGAAAAGTGGCACTAAACTCCCACCCGGAATTATATACTATCCTTTTCTAAAGGCTGTTTTTAAACACCCGGGCTGGTTCTCACATCGCAACAAGACAATCTTCCCAAGGGACTATGGACCACTTCTAAATCTCTTATCCCGGAACCTGCAGGCTGCAGGCCAATCCCGGTTGAAGGTTTTAGCTAGATACTGGCCTGATCTGCTGTTTTTTGGGCTCAGTTCTAAGTCCACAATTTTTATAAATAAATGTTTCTTGTAGAAAGGGTGTTTTAAGGTTGCTGTCTTGACAGTCTGTTTTTCCAGAAAATGTGAACTGTTTTTATTATCAAATGTCTTTTAGCCTTGTGACCTGAAACAAAGTATCACGAAGGTTTGAATGTCATAAACTTAAAAACAAAAACCTGCAGACTTCAGCATTTTAATAAGTGAAAATGTCAATTTGTAATTAAGGCTCAAATTTTCAATCGCCTAAGTGGCTGACACTGATTCTACTTGGAACCGCTGCTGATTTATTTATCCTGGAATAAAAGCAATGCCATTATGTCTTGGTGACAACAGAAATAAGCTTTGGCCAGGTCTGTGCATAGTTTGGGGATGAAGAAAATAAGTTTTGAAAGGCGATGGGCATTGCTGATTGTAGATTTTTATTAGGAACAGATGTGGGGCTACGGTTTTTAGTGGTAGACAAACTGTTATTGAAACAAGCAGCTAAGAACCATAATATCTTCTTTTTTAGGAAAGAGAAATAGTAACAAATTAAATTCGTACTCTTTTTCTTCCAGGCATTGCCCAAGCATCAAAAACAAACTCTAAATATTTATTTATGCATCCTTTGCACAGTACACACACAGGGGCACACTGTTTTTGTTAACTTATCTGCAACCTCTCCAGAGGTTAAGATAATTATAAAAACTTCTTTTACCACTGCGCTTCAGAACTCTCCACTGTAAAATTTGTTTATGGCTGCCCCCTCCTAATGGTTTCATCCTCTTAGGGTGTAGCAATGCCAATGCTAAGTTATCTACTGTATGATCATTTTGTGTATTCTAGGGCTATTTTCCTCTTCTTTCAAGGATAGAGTAAGCACTGTGGATCACTTACTGCCCAATTTGGGGCTGGGCCAGCTAAGGCGGAGACTGTGGACATTACAGATCATTTCCATCTCTCTCTCCCCTCCCCTCTTGCCCCAACCATTTATCGCGACCCCTTCATTGAATAACACTCTCCAGAAATTTCAAATGACCCTTCCAATCACATACGGTTGGCCAGAACTTATTCACATGTCCACACTTAGCTGGGAAATGGAGAGTTATTCTGCGCGGCCATGTGCCAAGTTAAAGGACGAGGGTTCAACTTTGTAGAAAAAAGAGAAATGGATATTGTAAATAACTAATAGGCTGTATCACAGGCTTGTATCAATTTACACTCCTATCAAGAGGGTATGAGAGCTTTTTCTCCACATTTGGTGTTGTCAGACACTTTGATTTTTGTCAATCTGATAGGCTCTCATTTATTTAAAGAAAAACTTTTTATATCCATCCTACTCCCATCCCCTCCTCACCAGAGACCACCAATCTAATGTATTTTAAAAATCTGTTTATATTGTGTATAATGGATATTATTCAGTATGTATCTATTTTTAATTCTTTGATTCAGAAAATTATTGCACCATATGTCTTTCTTCACTAAGTACCGTGTTTTTAAGGTCCATTTGTGCTGCCATGTGTGCACCTCTTCTATTGCTCCCACGGCTAGATCATTTTCTGCGATTTTCACCCCCACATCTTACTTGTCCATCCTCCCAGTGATGGACACTCAGCTAGCCTCTAATTCCCTAACGTCACTTATACCTTCTAATAAGCCTGTGTGATGAGTCATCATTCTAATTTTACAGATGAGAAAACTGAGGTTCAGAGAAGTTAAAAATTTGCCCCAAGTCCCATAGCTAATGTATTATGGCCTTAGGCTGACAGCCTCTAGAAAGAAGGAGAGTGCTAGAGAAAATCCACTTGGAAGTATAAAAGGTAAGTGACTCTCTGAGTGACTTCAGAGGTTCCAGGTAAGCTCTCTGCTCCAAAATATCTCCTCCATTCGGCTCCAAGGATGCCTCAAAGTTAAAAGCAGAGACTCTTTTCTTTGGCTTAATGATTCCCTCAGATCAGAATCCAAATCGACTGTAAACCTCACTGGGTATTTAGGCCTGTGGTTAAATGAGTTTTCAGCCCCTTTCAGGAGGTAAAGCATTAGGTGAGCTGTATAGCTATTGAGGGGTTAGAGGGCAGTGTAGCATTTGGGACTATATTCAGCGATGAATATATGAAGCCAGTGGCTTCCACAGCTAGCATTCAGTTATCTGAGTGGTTCTCAAAGCATGGTCCCCACCAGTGGAATCCGCATCAGCTGGGAACTTGCTTCCAGCTGCTACCCCAGACCTTCTGAATCAGACACTCTGGAGGAGGAGCCCAGAAACCTGTGTTGAATGAGCCCTCCGGGTGATTCACCTGCCCGCTGGAGTTTGGGAACCACAGGGTTCTCCTCTACGACAGGAAATCCAGGGTTGAGCAGGCAGGGCTGGTACTATGGCTTAGCGATGCCATTGAGGACCCCAGCTCTTTCTCTCTCCCTCTTCTGACATCTTTAGCATATGATTTTCATCTTCGTGGGTGCAAGCTGTACTCAAGATGCCACATCTGCATTCCAGGTAGGGAAAAAGGGTGAATCCAGAATGAGTGGAGCCTGTATGAACAAAAATCCTTCCCAGACATCCTCTACTTACTGCCTGCTTGACAATAAATGTCACACAGCCATGCCCAGATGCTGCAGAGTCTGGCTATAAGTGAGTGTTAACTGTGCGCCTTGCCATTGTCCCCTTGCTTCCATGCTGGGATTCTGTTAATAAAGAGAATGGGGGGATTGATGTTGTGTTTATGCAAATCAGCAGGTTCTATCATTTTCACTTAAAAGCAGAGAGAGGAGAAACCAAAACAGAGCAGTAAGTGGTCAAGATGGACTGAACCTGCTTCCTAACAGTTCTAGAGACTGGCCTTGGCATAGAGAGAAGAGATCTCCACTCTTTACAAGCTCATGCACTTGAGAGAGATTGCCATTTCACCTTGTATGGACAACAATTGTTCAGATTTGCAGCCAGAAGTTCCCTTTTGTCCTCAGAGATCAAGAGAAGTTCCCTAATTCACAGTAACTAAGTGTGAAACACTAGCCTCAGCCCTGAGAATGCATTCTATCCTGCAAAAACCACAGAAGCGATTCATAGTACGACAGAAACAGATTAAGAAGGGCTTTTTATGATGAGTTTGTTTACACGAGCTCCCGGCAGCCCAAGAGAAGGGATCATCATTTATTTTTGCCTCTCGGCCTTGAGCCTGTTTTTTCCTCTGGGTATCTCTGTTTGTTGACTTGCTCTCCAGCTCGGGGAGTTTTTCACTAAATTTTCTAGGTGAATTTGGGAATAGGCTCTGGATTGCAAAGAAAATAAATATCTTTATCTTAGTCCTCCAAGGGCTGCCTTTTGAGAAGGAAAATCCAGACCTGCTCTGTATTAAGCTCTGGGAGGTTACAGAGTGCAGGAGTGGTCCTTTACCCATAATCCTTGGGCAAGCTTGCTTCCTGCAGCCTTCTGCCCCTGCAGCTCACCAAAGACCTTTCATGTTTCCCTGCTCCTAGGAGTGGGTGGTGCCCATCAACACTACAGGTGGGTCCCATGGAAGTGCCAAACCAGCAGCTGCACAGCCCAGGGACTTTGAGCTGTTCGCAGCTCTCGTCTCTTTGTACCCCTGCCAACTCACACACACCTGGGATTTCACCAGCTGCCTGCCCAGTGCAGCCCCCTTTCCATCATGTGACCTAATCCTCATTACACCTGCTCCTCTTCAGGGCACCGAGCCCCATCCCCACCTCGCCTAAATAAGGCCTGGGGAGGTTTGAACAAGACTTATGTTATTCATGCCTAGACCAGCCAACTCCCACTAATTTCACGGCAAATTATGAGGGATTAGGGCTTACTGCGAAGAAAGGCTGGAGCTGACAATTAATCAGCTTGGTCATTTGGGGATCAAATTAAATTGGACCTGAGACCTTGGCTCTACATGGAATCAAATTCTCTCTTTGGCCTGGTGCGTGTATCGGGCTGAGAATACAAACACAGACTGCCCCCATCTTCCTTCTTTGCATATAGATGTTGGTCTGTAATTTTAAAATGCAGCAAGGGGTGAGAGAAGTACTACAGTTTGGGTTTTTTAAGTGAATGCAGGGCTTCTATTCAATTCAGCAAAGAGTTATTTCATTCTTCTTTTGTCTAAAAGGTCTCTCAGTTAGGTGCTGGGGCAGTAAGTCTGAATAATACCAGACCTGTGTCTTCAGGGAGGTCACAATCCAGTGAAGGATGTGGAAATGCTATTAATGTGAATTTGACTATCTAGCACTAGAAGTATAAAAAGCTATAGAAACTACTAATTCTGATTGGGGTTTGGCAATGACTTTACAGAGGAAGTGACACGAGCTGAGTTTGAAAGATGAGTGGGAGTCGTGTACTTTCTCTCTTTGGGCAGACACTGTGAAGGGACCCGCAGTCAGGATCTTTGCTTTAATCGTGTCTGACATTGTTTTGCACCATGATTGCTCCTCACACTCTGTGCATGACTATAGTCCAAGGCTAAAAGCAATAATCACCTTTGGAAACTGCCAACAAACATGAATAACTCTTCTGGGGCCAACTTTTCTCAAGGAAGTAATAAATGTAGTCTTGTGGCTAATGGCAGTAAGCATGAAAGTCTCTTTCTGGCTCCCTCACTGCCTTGTGACTTTGGACATGAAACATAATATATCAATTCATTGCCTTTACAAATGCGGTTTCTTTACGATGGTGTTAATCAACAAATGAGTTGTAAGCACTTACTATGTGCTTGGTACCATTCACTGCCACTTCTCTGAGTCACAAAAGTGCAGAAAAGAGGAAAAAATAGAGAATAGAAAGCACGCTAATGGCAATATAGAAGTAAAGAAACAGACTTGTTATTTTAAAAGAGAGTCATTTTCAGAAATCACTGCAGTGACCACTGAAGTTTTTATGTAGTTTGCAACGTTTAGAATTCTAAAACGCTTTCTAGTAAATTTTAGCACCCACTCCCCTCCGCCTCCTGCCCTGGTGCTCCCTTGATTAGAGATTACTCACTGCCGTAGACCAGTAGGCCTCAGGCCTGCTCGGCAATATTTCTGGTTTGGGAACACAGAGGACTGCATTTCTTTAGCTCCTTGAGTTTAGGCATGGCCGTATGTCTTGCTTTTACCGGTGAAAAGTGAGTGGAAATGGCATTTGACATCTGAGTTAAAGCATCTAATCTCCAGTACTCAGTTACACAACCCTCCTCTCCTACCTCAGCACCACGGAAGCCTGTTTCCATCAGGAGGCGTCTTGCTGAGCCATCAGAAGGAGGATGGCTTCCCTGAAGAGTCACACAGATGTGCAGTAGCCTTTGCTTATGTGAAAACGAAAGAAAGAAAAAAAAACCCTTTGAGTTTCCTTGAAAGCCACCGAGATTTAAGGGTTGCTTGTTACTGCAGTATCACCTAACCTATCCTAACTAACCTATCCTAACTAGTGCAACAACAGACTGACCACTATCGACTGTGCTAACATGGAAGAGACTGGAGTTGATTAGGTCACACACACTCTAGGTAGGATTGACACACAGGAGTCATCTCCAGGTATTTTTCTGCATGCTGAGGCCCTTGACACACAGGCCTGCAGCACATCACGTAAATTATCTCATTTTAATCCTCACAGCAGCACTATGTGATAGATATCACTACGCAGACTGAGAGGACTGAGAACCAGAGTTCAAGATCACATAAAAGTGGCCCGTGTGACACCAAAACCCAGCTTCTTTCCTTTTTCCTTACTGCCTCCCAGGATGCTCACCTAGATTGTTCCCAACTGATTGTATTACTTTATACATATTTACATAAAGCCGAAGCCCACATGGACCAGGTAACTAACTTCCCTTTTTTCCTCCAATGTTCCCTAAGCTCAGTCTCATCGGAATTCTGAATCAAGTGTCTGACAGGTGTCAGTGTCAAAGAAACCAGCTAGAAGAATGAGGATGGGATGGGGCAAATCGATTCCAACTTCTAGAAAAAGCAAGCCAGATAATTGCCCAACAGAGTCATCATTATGTATGAAAACAAATCAAGAGTTTTATGTAAACTGTAGATTAAAAAAAAAAAAAAAAACCCCGAATTTCAAAAGCTCTAAAATGGTTGTCCACTCTCTGTTTTTCTAGGAAAGGTGACTGTAACCCAGCTGGGGTAAGTGTTTCTCAGTCCTCTAACTTCAGTGATCTCAAATAAAGTTTCCACAATTTCACATAGTAATTTGTTTTGCTAGTACCCCTGACTATGGATAAACTCCCCAAGTTTCTCCATATTTTCGTATGGTCTTGCAGTCCAGCATCGGGTTATATACAGGACAGAGTGGAGCTCTATGAGGGCAGGGACGATGATGATCTTGTTGATTGATGGATATCAGTCCCTAGTTTTACACCTGGAAGGCAGTAAGCTATTAGAGACATTTGTTAAACAAACAGATGCAGTTAAAGAACCCATGACCACTGACAAAGACAAAATACAGCAGTCCCGCCTTACCTATGGTTTCACTTTCCACAGTTTCAGTTACCTATAGTCAACCACAGGCATTGTCTGCTCCCGACATCCAACCATTAGCGTCTTCATAGCTCAATGATCCTCCTTCTGATGTACCGTCAGTAGGTCAAGGGTAGACTAACGCTATGTCACAATGCCTATGTCATTCACCTCACTTCATCTCAGCACCGTAGGCATTGTATCATCTCACATCATCACAAGAAGAAGATATTTTGAGAGAGACCACATTCACATAGCTTTTATTACAATATATTGTTTTAACTGTTCTATTTTATTTTTATTCTTAATCTCTTACTACACCTAATTTATAAATTAAACTTTGTCATAGATATGTTTGTATAGGAAAAAAACACAGTATATATAAGGTTCAGTACTATCTTACTATCTGCAATTTCAGGCATCCACTGGGGGTCTTGAAACATATCCCCTGTGGATAAGGGAGGACTGCTACAAACACAAAAATAAGAATCTGGTTTACCAAAATGAAAGACTTGCTTTAACCAATCACATGAAGGATTCTCACCCAAAATCTGGTTGTGCAACCATAGCTAAGTTGTATCAGTTTATTTGAAGTCACAAACAGAAAAATGACTCCTCCCCGCACATTCAAGCTGAAAATCTTAGATTTTTTCTGTTTTATGTACATTAATTTAATATTAATAGGAATTTTACTATTGTTCCTAGGATTTCTTTGGCGAAGTAAGAAATTTAAATTGGGGGCTTTTGGGGGCCGGCCTGTGGCTGGGTGGTTAAGTTCCTGTACTCTGCTTCGGGAGCCCATGGTTTCGCCGGTTCGGATACTGGGCATGGACATGGCACGGCTCATTAAGCCATGCTGAGGCGGCGTCCCACATGCCACAACTAGAAGGACCCACAACTAAAAATACACAACTATGTACCAGGGGGCTTTGGGGAGAAAAAGGAAAAATAAAATCTTTAAATTGGGGGCTTTTGGAGAATTTTGATCAGGGACGTGCTAGCATCTGGACTTGGCTTTTACAGGTGGAAACAAAAGCAGTGAATAAATGAGCAGTGGACATGCATTGCAAAGCGAGTTGCCAAAGTAGCAAGAGACTATTTGAGGAAGCGCATGTTCCTCTTCGAAGTGTGATCACCCACTGGGCAGCTGGACTGTTAGCAACCAGCGTCCATTGCTTTAAAAAAATAAACAGTTCCTTATTTGGCAAATCTAATTTCAATGTATGTATCATCATTCCATAGTGAAGGTAAAGGTAAAAGTCACCAGAGAGATCTTATCAAGTATATATACCGCAATGCAGCAGATATCATAAAGATGTAAGACACATCACACACATACAAACATACGCTGGGAGAGTCGGCTCTAGGAATCTACAATTTGCTAGGAATGTGGCTGCTCTCTTTTCCATTAATAAGTCAACTCTGGACCCATAGCTCAATTTCCTTTCCCATTTGCAGTTAGTTGTTAATATGTATGTAGTTTTAGGGAAAGGCTTAAATAAATGCTTTGTTCACTAGAATCACAGAAAATGGGGTTGTGGTCAGGGGTATGCATATGTCACCAGCTCATGAGTTCCTTGAAGGCAAAGTCCACATTAGACTAATTTAAAAAAAATCCTTATAGCAGTTGCCCTTCCATTAAATAGGTGTCCAGTAAGTGCCTGTCAAGTAGGCAAAGTATATACTTGTATCCTGTAATAAAGCTGAGTTTTTATTTGTGCAAACTCTGTAACAAATAGGTTGCTGTTTGCTTTTTTTTTATTAAAGACCGTATTATTTTTCTCTAGAGCAGATTTAGGTTCATAGCAACATTGAGAAGAACGTACAGAGATTTCCCAAATACACCCTGCCCTCACACACGCATAGCCTTCCCCATTATCAACATCCCCTAGCAGAGGGTACATTTGTTACAATTGATGAAACTACATTGACACATCCTAATCGCCCAAGGTCCATAGTTAACTGTTCACTCTTGGTGGTGTACATTCCACGGGTTTGGGCTGGCGGCTTTTTGATGATGGAAACTCATTGATTTTGCTTTTAAGATTTATTGGGTTTGGTTTTAGACCCATAAAAAAGGCTTCATCTAAAAATTTTTTTAATTTCAAAATAATCACAAATTTACAGAAAAATTGGAGCTACTGTACAAAGAACTTTTTTTCTGACCAATTTGAGGGTAAAGGCTGCCCTGATACCTTAGTTTTGATTTTTTCCTACTAGTGTGGACATTCTCCTGCGGGAGCACACAACAACCATTAAAGTCAGGAAATCAACACGGATACGTAGCCTTCTCCAATTGTCTTCATAATATCCTGACTTTATAGCAAAAGAGTCCAGTCCAGAATCACACATTACATTTAGTTATCACCCATCTTCATGTTTCTTCTGTCAGTAACAGTTCCTCAATCTTTCTTTGATTTTCATCAACCTGACATCCTTTTGAAGTTACGTTGTAGAATATTCCTCAATTTGGATTTATCAGCTACTCTCATGATTAGATTCAGGTTATACATCTTTGGCAGGAAAAATGGAAGTAGGGCTCTGCTCTTTTTGCATCCTGTTAGGTGGTCCAGGATTTCAATTTGTCCCCTTATGTGTGCTGTGCAGTTTGATTGCGTAAGATAATGCTCGCCAGCCTTCTCCACTGCAAAGTTACTTCTTTTTCCCTTTCTAATGAGTAAGTATTTTGTGGGGTGATATTTTGAAACTATGTAAATATCCCATTCCTCATCAAATTTTTAATTATTAATATGTAAGGGTTCATAGTTTCCTATTTTATATGATGGGTTAAATCTAGTCATATAATTATTTATCTTAATGCTCAAATTATCCTGCATTTGGCCAGTAGGAGCCCATTCCAGCTGCCTTCTGTGCTTTTTCACATAACTTCATCATTCTTTGAGCACTTCCTTAGTTTCTGGTACAAAAATGTGTTTCAGGCTCATGTTGTACTTCATCTGCCCAAACCCTGGAATTAGCTACTTCTCCTGGGAGCCCTGGGTCCATTTAGCGGAGAGGCCAAGATCTGGACCCTGCATATGCTCATTTCTACTGCTACTGCTGCTCCCAGGCACTCTCAGTGGACAGACCTAGGGAATATATACACAGATACACATGGTCACACATACATTTACATCTATGTTTCTGTATCTATCTATATATAGAAAACCATGAGTTCATGCCAATTTCTCCACTTTCAATCCAATCCCACAGGTTCATTCTGGTTTTCCCCTGTTAGGTATTTTTAATTTGCACCTCCCTTCTCTGATAGTGAGAAACATGGTACTTTGGACTGAATCGTGTGCCCCCAGAATTCATATTTTGAAGCCCTAAACCGCAATGTCATGGTACTGGGAGATGGGTATGTTTGGGAGGTAGTTAGGCTTGGATGAGGTCATGAAGGTGGGGCCTTCATGATGGATTTAGTGCCCTTATAAGAAGAGGAAGAGACCCCAGAGCTCTCTGCCATGTGAGGACACAGCAAGAAGGCGGCCTCATGTGAGCCAGGAAGGGACCCCTCACTAGAACCCGACCATGCTGGCACCCTGATCTCGGAATTCCAGTCTCCAGAAGCATGAAAAACTCAAGTTCTGTTATTTAATCCACTTGGTTTACGGTATTTTTCTATGGCAGCCCGAGCAGATTAATACACATGGTTTCCATTACTCTTAATATATTTTTCATTTGATCAATCTCCCTCATTGGACTCGGACCCTCCACACTGGGTTACCCTCCATGGGGACACCCTCCTCACTCTACTTAGGCTCTGATTTCCAATTCTGGGCCATCATGTCCCCTCTCCCCTTACTTTCTCTGAGGAACTGAGGAAGTGAAATTCTACTTTCCTCTGCTTCATCTCATGGCTTTGGGGCTCAGTTGTAAAGGAAGAGAAGGAAGTGGATTTTGCTTAGTTCCCTAAAATATCACTTGATATTTGGAAAGATGTGTTTTATCAAGCAAAAGTCTGAAAAGTTCATTATAATCATAAATTTGAGGCTAGAAGGAACCTTAAAGATAATCTAATTCAACCATCTTATTTTATTTAATAACTTTAATTTCTAGGGACAATTTTTCCTAATTTAACGAAAGAGAAATTGAATCTTATAAAAAACTTATGCATGACTGTAGCTGTGATTATAAAGAAACTTCTGGAGTCAGAACCACTGCTTTATAAAATCTCCTTTGTATTTCTAAAAGCCCCATGGCTACCTTGAATGATGGAAGGACTGATGTTACACAGCATTTTCTAAGTAACCAATGGTTATTAACGTAGTTTTTTCATCCCACTCAATGTATTTCTCCTGCCTCTCCTTTGTTTCCAGTAGAGGGACTTGGAGGAGCAGATGCACTGCATTATAGCTCAAAATTTGTTTTGTGAAGAAGCTAAAACAGAAAGGGGCAAGGACCTTATTTTTCAAACTAATGTTGAACTAACAGAAACTGATTAATTTTATCTTCACACACACGCACGTACACACACACACACCCCTCTCAACCAGGACATGTGGTTCAACAAGTGCAAATGCATTTACAGAGACGATGGGACAAGGTAACTACAATTAGACTGCACAGGAAAGACGAGGCTACACAGCAAACCCATGTAAGCATCTTGCTGGGGAGCTGTGTAGGGCTCAGTCTGTAGGAAAGACTATGGACAAGCATGTGTCTTTAAAGATGGAGCAGATTTAGGTATAGGGGCGCAGAGAGGGCGGTAAACTCAGGATAGAGACAAGCAACCGAGGAAGCAGTGCCTTCATGAGCTGATTTGATTGGGGAAGACGGAATTTATATAAGTGCAGTGGGAGAACATGGCCTGCCTTGAGGAATTGAATGGATTTATGTCTCTTTGGCCAAATCAAATCTTTTAGATGATGCATTTCAGATAGGATCGAGGTCAACTGCAAATAATAGAATGACAATAATAGAATGAATAGGCAATGACAGTGGCTTAAAGGAATATGGATGGATTTTTCTTATTAGAAGTTCGGAGGTTAGTGGTTGCTGGCAGTGATTTAATAGCTCAAAAATGTAGGACCAATGTCTCTGTGATTCTCTTGGCCTTTTCCTCATGGTTCCAAGATGACTACTGAAGCGCCAGACATCACATCTGCATTTAAGACAGCAGAAAAGGGAAATTCATGTTGCAAGACATATTTGTCATGTTTTATCAGGAAAACAAAAGCTTACCCAGAGCCCTGCTCCCTCACCACCCCCAGAATATATTCATCCTCTGAACATTAG